TTAAACGTGCAAAAACAGGAAAGACGGGATCTAGCACAGAAGATGTGACCCGACAGAAGCTGGGGTGTTGGGCATTGGAATACTCTATTATTCCACAAATATTTATTCAACAAAAGACACGAGTGAAAATGACATGGAGTGAACCATAGTATCAACAGATTGAAATATTTTAGCTGTAGTGTATTCAAGTATGTGTGCATGTTTGTTGAATCCTTTACATATAAAATCAGTAGTGTCGGCCCAAACTAAAATGGCAGTAAACCAACTTCAGAGGAGTAAGCATGACTTGCTAAAAAAAGTAAAAACATTTTTTCAACTAGAAAAATGAAATTGTTACAATTGATTGGATAAGAAAAAATTTCTAAAGCTTGAAGAAAGTTCATTTTTCCCTTTTGGACAAATAATTACATAATATTTGTCGGGATTAACTTATTGGGAAAATTTGACTCGTAACATTCCATAACATCAAGGGTAAAAAAAGGAAAGAAATAAAGGTGGAGAATTCTTTTAAGCAAATTTAGCCCTCATTTTTAACTGCACATTTCGAAATACTTATTTTTCTCCAAAATCATTTTTAGTTACACATTTCATTAGTCTTTATCTGTTTCATTTATTTATTTTCAGGAATACCAGTCATGGCTCAATTATTTCCTTGGAGCTGAAGATGCCAAAACATATTACTTTAATTATTTTGTTGGGGAGCAAAACTGAAAAGTTTTCATACAATGCATGTGGATGCCCCATACTATCTGAAGAAATTTAATGGTGCTTTGTATAATGCATGTCCAGTCTCTTTTGGAGAGAGACCAAAATAGTCTTCTGGGGAATGAGTAAAATAGTTATTTTTACATTTAAATGTCAATTATATTATTTTTTTATTGACAAAAATTGTACATGTAATTTGGTGGGCGAGTTTGAGAATAGTTAATTTTGTGAGTTTGAGAATATTGGGAATTTTCACTTCTGCTTAACCGATTGTTGAGAAATTTCTAATACCATTTTAATGTTGGAGATATTACACCGATAATGTGTATATTATATTCAAATCAATACGTACATTTTTATGCTCATAAAATCGAAATAGAATTCAACTTATACCAAAATGGAATTTGAGAAGACGAGCAATAATTATTGAAGTCGAACACGTGTCGACGGATTCAATTTGTTTCATTCTTTATTTCAAACCTT